GGAGATCAGACACTTCTCAGGCAGAACCTTCCCAGGCTGTGCCCGTGAGAGACCCCGGAACTATCATGGAATGACACTCTGGCTAAGATCCTTCAGCGAGCAGTCTGAGGAATTCCTGGGCGGGGGGGGGGGGGGTACAGGGAACCAGAAAAGGAGAGACCTGGCACTTACCTGGAGGTGGGAGGAAGTAGGTCAGCGACTTGTTTCCATAGCAACTGTGACTGAGCCAAGACAAACAGGGGCCCACACTGTTAGATCACTTCAATCCGAGTTGGCTGGTGACTGCAAAAGAGAGGACCCAGTTTCTTCAAAATAATGAAGTTTGGCACACCCGCAGCCAGTTGATTTTGTTTCGTTTTGTTTGAAATAATATAATTAAGAAACTCCAAACTCATTCCAAATCAGTTTGTGAGTTTAAGTGTAATCTGTGTTTTACTTGTGGGATTGTGTTCTGGATGTTTGCGGTGGTGTGTGTGTTAAATTTATTTTGTGCCGGGCGGTGGTGGCGCACGCCTTTAATCCCAGCACTCGGGAGGCAGAGGCAGGCGGATCTCTGGGAGTTCGAGACCAGCCTGGTCTACAAGAGCTAGTTCCGGGACAGGCACCAAAGCTACAGAGAAACCCTGTATCGAAAATAAAAATATTTTGTGCGTGATTAGGAAATGGAGTGCTAGGCATATGCATGCTACAGTTTCAATGTCGAGGCCACGGCAGGGGTGAACTCGTACGAGTTTGTTCTCTTGTCCCAGTTAGGGTTGCTGTGGTGAAACACCATGATCAAAGCAACTTGGGGTGGAGAAAGTTTATTTGGCTTACATTTCACAACACTGTTCATCATTGAAGGGAGTCAGGGCAGGAACTCAGGCAGGGCAGGAACCTGGAGGCAGGAGCTGACTCAGAAGTCATGGAAGGTGCCGCTTACTGGCTTGCTCAGCCTGCTTTCTTAAAGACCCTGGGACCATCAGCCTAGGATGTGCCTGCTCCTAATGGGCTGGGCCTTCCCCCATCAATGAGTAGTTAAGACAACGCCCCACAGGCTTGCTGCTTAAAGCCTGTCTTCTGGAGGCTCTTTCTCAGTTGACCTCTCACATGACCCCAGCTGTGTCAAGTTGACTTAAAACTAGCCATTGCACCTGGCGGTAGTGATGCAAACCTTGACTCGTAGTACTCGGGAGGTAGAGGCCACAGGACCTCTGTGAGTTCAAGGCCAGTCTTATCTGCACAGTGAGTTTCTGGAGAGTCAGGACTACACAGCGAAACCCTGTCTTGAAAAACCAAATCAAAACAAAAGCAAAAAACCCCAAACCACAATTCAACAAAACAAAAATCTAGCCAATGCATGGGTTCTGGGGATCATACTCAAGTCATTGGGCGTGGTGCAGGGTCTTATATCTCTGTCCTCTATCAAAGATATTTTTAAATTTTTATCAAATTAAAAAGAACTATAAAATGGATTTTTTGGATAAATAGAATTCTGGATCTTATTTGAAAACACAACATTTAAGATTAGCCAATAAATAAATAGGAAAGGAAAACCACTAAAAAATATGAGGGCTATTTCTTCTGGTGGGTCAGAGCAGAACGGGAAAGGGAAAGCAGGGGCCGCTACTGTTCCTCAAAGCCCCACCCCCAGTCACTTACCATGTCTGCCCTACTCTGGTGAAGTGACATAGAACATAAATGATTGTAGGCTACTGGGCTGTGTGTGTTAGAAGGACGGGAGAAAGAACCCTGAATGTTTATACGAATTAAGCAAAATGACAGTTTAAATCCGTGGTACAGTTGTTAACCCTGTGTCCTTTGATCTTTTCTGTCTGCCAACTTCAGCACCTCCTGGCTTGCTGGTACTCTGACCTGCTCCTACTCAGAATGTGTGTTCTTTGCCTGCTGCCTGGGGAGCAAGAACCCGGGAACGACAGGCATATGGGGTCGCCCTTGCCAGAACGCAGGTTCTTGTTTGTTTGTATTTGTTTGCTTGCATGGTTTAGTTTTTGTTTGCAAGTGTTGTGTTTTGTTTTTATTTCCAGACTGAATCTCACATAACGCAGGCTGGCTTCAGATTCACTATGCAGCTTAGGCTAGTCTTGAACTGGTCCTCCTGCCTCTACCGCCCAAGTGCAGAATTACAACTGTCTCTTTGGGGGCCCTCCTGATGGATTCTTTATTTGGTGCCATGTCCCCCAGCAGTGCCGTCTGCACCTCCAGATCCCATCTCTTAGAGTCCAAGACCAGTAACTGTCTCGTTCCTTTGCATCCATTCCTCTGATCTCTCTTTGCTGTGGCTCCTGACTGCCCATCGTTAACCAAGAGACGGGGAGAATTTGCTGTACAGCGTGAACCATCTGCTGCCCCAAGTCACTGTGTGACTCCTGGCCAAGAAACTCTGTGCAGTAGCAGAAAGTTAGGGCCGGGGTCCCTTCCACAGAGGACTACTGTTATCTAGGGTGCCTGTAGAGGGTGGGCTGGCTACCTGGTCCAGCTTGGCTCCCCTCCTGTTATGAGGCCATGGAGTCGAAACATGATGCTTTAGCTTTGTCTCCAGACCTTAGCCACGCATCTCTATCAGATGTTAAAGGGACCGGCACTCTCAAATAATGGGCTGACTTTCCGGCTTGTCTATGAGCACTGCTACTGCACGCCGAGGCCGCATTTACTGCAGAGGCACACGCGTCGAAGGATATGAAACACACAAAATGTGACGCTGTTTCGTTGCAATTATTTACTTGCATGTGGGTGGAGAGCATATGGCATGGTCTGTGTGTGGAGGTCACAGGGCAACTTATGGGGTTGAATTTGGGTTGTCAGGCTTGGCAGCAAGCGCCTCTGCCTGCAGAGCTGTTTTGCCAGCCCAAGCAATACTTTCAGACTATTTTATTCCAAAGTTGGTTTACTCTTTCTCCAGCCTGTGATGTGCAGAAAGGGCTCCATGGGGCAAGTGAGAGGACCTGAGGACCTGAGTTCAAGTCCCCAATACCTACATAAAAATTAAGCAAATAAAGAAACAGGTGGTATTGGAATTGGGAGGGGTGGCAGGCAACCGGCAGTCTGTGGAGCTCATTAGTCAGCCAATCTCACAAGTAGGTGAGCTTCCGGTTCAGAGAGACCTAACAAATAGATCAATCAATCAATAAATGAAATTTAAAGATTAAAATAAGGTGGAGAACAGTAAAGCAGACACTACTCCTGTCTTTTTAGCACCACAGTTCTTGCCTGCACCCAAGCAAAACAAAACAGAAACTTCCACAGCTTCTACAAATGTTCCCTACTTTGGGACACAAGGTCAAGGCCTCCCAGGCCACTGGAGGGAGCTTGTCCTGACCTAGAACCTCCTGCAAGGTCTGGGGAGAGGCTGGCCTTCAGTGCTCCGAGGGAGTCCCTTCTGCAGACCTGCAGCTGGGAACACAGCCCTGAGGCACCCAACAGCTCTGAGGTGAGATTTCCAGGAAGGCCATTAGAAAATGCTATCTTTCTTGTTGACGCTGGCCTCCTGCTTCCAGGAACAGGAGATGCTATACCGAGAGAAGATGGAGCCTGTCCCTGTCCTCACAGGGCCTGACCTCAGGGCACCCTCCTCTTCCACTCCTCCAGGGCCGCTCACAGAATAGCAAGGCTGGTGCCAGAAGGAAGATGGATCACTGGGGTCATGTGCAGCCAGGACTTCATAGGTCACACTGAGGCTCCTCCTGCCCAGTGAGGGGGCAGCTTTCCCTAGGCTGCCCCAAGCTGAGGGAGAGATCTGAGCTGAACTTACCAAGATTGCAGCAGGCTCCCTTTTCTTTGTATGATGGCAAAGGAAACACCAAGAAGATGTCATCCCTGAGAAGGGACATTTATGACTCAGGAACCTGGGAGGACAGACAGTGGGGGTGAAGCGGTCCTGGAAGCCAGGGTCAGAAGGGGTCAGCTGCAGAAGGAGCTAGAAGATCTGAGTTTACTTCTCACAGGTCACGGCCTCTCTGTGCCCCTTCCTGGGCCAGAACAACGGGCATAAGTCACAGGCAGTGGTTGTAGAAGCAGACCACAGAAGGCTGGGGGACAGCCTGTGCTGCCTGCATCACTAGGCTGGAGCCTGGACACTGGCCACAAGCACACGGCTGCAGCCTGTTCCTCCATGGAACTGCCCTTCTGGGATAGAGTCTGCATCCTGCACTGTGGGCACAGACTGGAGATATAGGTCACCTTGTCACTAGGCCTCAGGCTCCTGCTGTCTTGCCAGCCTCTCTGGCAGCGGCTGCCCACTTGCTGAAGGCAGGCCATCCTCCTGAGGCTCCTAGTACTTTCTAAGGATTCTCCCCAGGACTCTTCCGGGCCCTGTTGCAATGTTCCTGTTGGGCAACCACTGTCTGCTTCCATGAGGGACTCTCTAGAGAAACCTTGGAACAGAAAAAGCCCGCTTGAGGCCGGGAGGAGTGCTATGTACCTCATAGGTGCCTGGAAGCCAAGTGGGGAGTGTGGGAATTCAACAAGAGCAGAAAGTTACACGTGGGGGTGGACGGGTGTATAGAAAAGCCGGGGGGGGGGTGTATAGAAAAGACGAGGGGTGCACATGGAGTCCCACTGGGTGCACACGGAGTGGACAGGCTGTGCAGAGGGGGAGGCTTCACCATGGAACTGTCTCCCTCTCCTTCCTGTTGGACAAGGTGGAAGGGGCTGCAGTCTTGGGTACAGCGGACTTTCTTCCCCTCCCACCCTGTGGATGCTCTCTAGGATACAGTAGCCCCCCTCCTCACCTTGGGCTCGTTCTTGTTTATACTGCATTCAGTCAACTGTGGTGTGAAAAATATCGCATGGAAAATTCCAGAAGCAAACTTAGGCTTCAGATCACGTGCCACCCTGAGTGGAAAGATGACATCTCCCAGCTGGGACACAAATCATCTTTTGTGCAGTGCAAGCATTCTGCTCCGACAGCCAGCCTCTGTCAGCCGCAACGTCCGCACCAGACCGCAGCCTCTATATTCTAGTAGCTGTGTTCTGCGCCTGCGCTCCAGCGACCCCGATTTTATTTAACCGCGGCAGAGTACTGGCAGTGAATATCCGAGAAGTAAATAGCTGGATCGAAATAAACCCGATAAATTCCCTATGCCAACCATGAAAGGAAGAGCCTGTGGGGAGGAAGAATTTCCACGCGAAGTTAATGTATGTCACATGAACTTCGAGAAAAGTGGCGGGTGTTAAGAATTTCTTCCATTTTGAAGAAGAAGAACAGCGTGAAGTTGCGAGGATAGGGAGGTAGGAGGAGGTGAATCCGGGAGGAGTTGGGAGAGGGTACACTGTATGAAGTTCTCAGAGTCAATTGGAAACACTTAAGATGCCTTACTTTTGCTGTATGCATGTGTGTGCCCTGCCTGCATGCTTGTCTCTGCACCATGTGTGTGCCCTGCCTGCATGCTTGTCTCTGCACCATGTGTGTTGTGCCAGCCTCTCTGGCAGCGGCTGCCACTTGCTGAAGGCAGGCCATCCTCCTGAGGCTCCTAGTACTTTCTAAGGATTCTCACCAGTTCTCTTCCCGGCCCTGTTGCAATGTTCCTGTTGGGCAACCCCTGTCTGCTTCTATGACGGACTCTCTAGAGAAACCTTGGAACAGAAAAAGCCCGCTTGAGGCTGGGAGGAGTCCTATGTACCTCATAGGTGCCTGGAAGCCAAGTGGGGAGTGTGGGAATTCAACAAGAGCCAGGCTGGAAGAGGTCATTGGACCCCCTGGAGCTGGAATCACAGCTGGGGATCACCATGTGGGTACTGGGAATCAAACCCAGATCCTCTGGGAAGAACAGCAGTGCTCTTAACCTTGGAGCCATCTCCCCAGTCCCTAGTAAGTTTATATATATATAATTGGTTCTGATGACAAAACACTTGCTTCAACTGGGTTTTATCTACATAGCTCTAAGAGGGGAGGAGGTATTTTCCTACTTCCTAGAGCGCATGTGATGTTCTGGGTACCAGTTGGTATGCTTGACACTTAACCGGGTCTGGGCTAGAACTCATGGAGGGTCAGGAACCAAACCAGGCTACTTAGAGATGTCCTTTAGCAGCCTGGGGAACAACCACCCTGGTCTGTATCCTGAGTTGCTAGGCTGAGCCACGTGACTCCAACTAAATGGCATAGCGCTCAGAATCACAACTTGCTTGCGAATGTGTAAGGAAGTTGTAGTTTGCATAGCCTGTCTGGTCCTGGCAATCAGCAAGGTGGTAGGATTTAACAAGCAAGCATTTTGCTTCCTGGGTGCTGGGATTCTGTGACTTAGACACCACTGCCACCTGGTGGTTGTAATTCCAAACTACAATTTCAGGACAAATAGACCTTCCCTTCCCTTTCCTTCCTTTCCCTCCCTTCCCCCTGTGCCCCCCCCCTTCCCTTCCCTGGTCCCCCCTCTCCCTCCTTCCTTTCTTGTATGTGTATATGAGTACATGCAGCAGCCTATGGGTGGAGGTCAGAGGACAATTTTGATGGCTCCCTTTTCACTTCCTATTCTCTGGTCCCTGCAGCAAACTTCAGGTTCGCTGGGCTTCTGGCCAGTTCTCCTGCTTTAGCTGATGGCGCCACAGGAGCCCTGGAACGGCAGGTGTGCACTATCACACCTGGCTTTACGTGGCTTCTAGGACTCCAGCTCGGCTTACACAGCAGACATTTTTACCTGTAAAGTCACCTCAACCTCCTAGGGGCTTATTTATCGTATAAAACAAGTAAATAAAATCTACACCCACTGAGAAACATGCTCTGGAGGGGGATGTGGCCCTCACACTTCAAAATTAAGCATGCTTGTTTTGAGATGTCCCTCAAAGCCCTGCCCTGCCCCCTGACTCGGTGACAGGAAGAGGGAGAACAGAGGAGGCCAACCTTTCCTGCCTCCTGGAACCTGGCTGGCTCCTTAGGGACACTTGGGAGTTTCTATCACCTGGACACAAACAAACCTTTGCTGCTTTTGAAGCACCCTAATCTCTTTCTCCTCCCCTTGTCTTCTCCAACTCTGAAAGCAACCTCACCCTGTGAGTTTAGCTACTCTAACAACTACCTATGGGCTTATCTTCCTTGAGGTGAGATCAGGAAATTTCTCCCTCTGTTTATTTTGCTATTTTGGGTTACCTGCCTAGGCCATAGGTACCCTCTCCTCCTATATCTATACTAACTTACTAAAGTATCTTTTTCCAAGAAAAGGTATGACGATCTACATTTGATCTGTGAGATATGCCCTGATTGGGGGTGGGCTCACTCTACTAGGAGCTCAACTGAAAGGGAGACCTTAATAAAATTCCCAGTCGCACTGCGTCCTCAGGGGATCACAGCACCCCTTTTACATTAGACTAAGATGACTAAGGGAGTCAGTTGTCTAAGGTGGTTCTTTATCTTTTGTTTTGTTTGCAATTTTAATGTGTTTTGTTTTGATTTGACACCATTTTTACATGATGCATTTACAGACTTCTAAGGAGAACCTGAGGTTTTCTCAGCCCAAGCCTCCATGCTAACACAGGCATGCTAACACAGGCACTAAGGCTTTGAGATTCACAGATCACAGCAGAGACTCAGGATAAACTGCCAAGTTCTAGACGGGCTGCTCCCAGTAAGGAGCTGTTTCATGGGCTCTGCTGGGTCCCGATGCCCGCTTCTGCCTGGTTTCCCCAGGCCCCTTCTCAGAGATGAACTGCACCCGCCCCATACTCCTTTGTCCCACAGCCTTTGTTTCCCTCTGAATAAGAATATGGAGACTAGAGATCTCTATATTAAGTTTTCCTTTTGCAATGACGGTCATAAAAATCTTAATCCCCCAAACAAGGATGAATCCTTGGTTTACTTCAGCATTGCCGTCTCTCTCCACAGCTGGGAGAAATGAACCTATCTTCATGAATACTGAGGCCAACTCTCAAAGCTGCCTTTACCAGCTGTAGCAGTATGCATTTGAATGTAACTGGTCTCCCATAAGCTCACAGGAAGTGGCACTGTTAGGAGGTGTGGCCTTGTTGGAGAAAATGTGTCACTGTGGAGGTGGGCTTTGGGGTCAAATATATGCTCAAGCCATGCCCAGTATCTCAGGTCACTTCCTGCTGCCTGTGGCTCAAGATGTAGCTCCCTCTCCAGCACCATGTCTGCTGCACACCACCACGTCACACCGTGATGAGAATGAACTAAACCTCTGAAGATGTACGCCAGCCCAGAATGCTTTTCCTTATAAGAATTGCTATGGTCATGGGGTCTCTTCACAGCAACAGAAACCCTAACTAAGACAGCAGCTATGGAATACCAGCTCTTCCTGGAAGAGAGCTTCCCATGGGTGTAATGTAGCATTCTGCACCCTCACCTCCATGTTCCCTGATTAAAGGAGGTTGTCAGATACCCTTCCATCAAACTCTCAGGTTTGGGGAATTATATTGGATACCCAAATGGTGTTCTTCGACCTTTAATAGACAATACTATGAAAATGACCCAACAGGATCTATTTCTCTCTCAAACTGTCGAATAGATGCTGACTTTAACTGACTTCCCTTGCACTTATTCAGGGGCTTTCCATTCGAGACATACCCTGTGCTGAGAATGAAGGAGATGCAGAAACTGGCTGGAACAGCCCCTATTATTCACAGCCTTGGGGCTTCGTGGCTGTGTGAAGTTCTCACTGGAGCCTGAGAGGGTGCCTGGGACCCTATCTAAACATCACAGTGTCCACCTGAGAAGCAACCTGGGGTGGGAAGCATAGCTTCTTGCCTTGCCACCAACCACGCCACTCTGACCCACTGGGGAATTGGGTCGCCTGTTCCTCCTGCCTCAGGGTCCCAGGTTAGAAAGTCCCTTATCAGGATTACTAGGTGACTCTTCCATGCCCCTGCAAACTCCCAAGTGTCCAGAGTCACAATGGCATTGATGGGGACCCTCAGGGTGACTCTAGTTACAAGCATTGACTGAGCCCAAGTCTGAAGTCTGGACTAAGTGTGCTCAGAGCTCAGATGTTTTCTTATGACCTAAAAGTGTTTGCCCTGATGCCAGGGGAGCAGCAAGGCAGAAGATGGCATTTGAATCACCATTACACACCGACTCTAGAGAGGGCGATTTTCTGGACGGTTGAACCCTTCACGAGTGCTTGAGGCTGTGTGTCCTGTGGATGGGATTAGGATATTCCCAGGTAAGCTCAGAGGCATGGGCCTTGTGTGTTGTGTACCCTTCATTTAGGAGTCTATCATGGGGTCAGATCCTGGGAGGAAGGCATCAGATTGACCAAGACCAGAACCTGAAGCTGAGAAAATGAACTCCAAGGAAATTCCTGAACTTGAAATGATATCCAAGATCTGAACATGCAGTGGAAACTGGAAAGACAAACAAACAACAAACAAAAAAACAAAAACTAAGATTTACAAGAACAAAGAAAGCATGAAGTGGCCTGTGAGTACACTTAGCATTCAGAGTGGAGGGTCAAGTTTTCAGATGGTCTGTGGAGTGGGCCACACATATACCCTTGTTCCTTTCTTCCTTTTGAGTAGGGTCCCAGGGAGGAAAGGTTTCTGGTCCAGGAGAGGTCCTATCCTCTTGGCTATCCAGTTTATCTTCAAAGACCTCGAAAGAATGGTACTCAACTTCATATGGAAAAGCAAAAAACCCAGGATAGCCAAAACAATCCTGTACAATACAAGAACTTCTGGAGGTATCACAATTCCTGACTTCAAACTCTACTACAGGGCTACAGTACTGAAAACAGCCTGGTACTGGCATAAGAACAGACAGAAGGACCAATGGAACTGAATAGAAGACCCAGATATCAATCCACACACCTTCGAACACCTGATCTTTGATAAAGAAGCAAAAAATATCAAATAGAAAAAAGAAAGTGTATTTAACAAATGGTGCTGGCATAACTGGATATCAACATGTAGAAAAATGAAAATAGACCCATATCTATCACCATGCCCAAAACTCAAGTCCAAATGGATCAAAGACCTCAACATAAAGACAGCCACACTGAACCTGAAAAGAAAGTGGAAAGTACACTTGAACGCATTGGCACAGGGAACCACTTCCTAAATATAACCCCAGCAGCACAGACACTGAGAGAAACAATTAATAAATGGGACCTCCTGAAACTGAAAAGCTTCTGTAAAGCAAAGGACATGGTCAACAAGACAAAATGACACCCTACAGAATGGGAAAAAAATCTTCACTAACCCCACATCAGACAGAGGTCTGACCTTCAAAATATACAAAGAACTCAAGAAATTGGACACCAAAAGATCACATAATCCAATAAAAAAAT